GCATTACACTGATGTCCAGTGTCACAAGCACTCCCTTGATTATCTGACTCTTGGAATGTTTGACAAGTTTATTCTTTTTGTTAAGAATTCACAAGATTGAAGTCGGATGTTTGTATCTGTGTTTGTGCAGTTGGTCAAGACAGGTATACACGACTGTGGAGTCTGAAGGAGGGTCGTCTCTTGCGGACTATCCCATGTCCAACTCCTCCTTCCCCTATCAATCCAGCTGTGGTCTACTCTCAACAATGGCATAATGGAGCACCTGGTGGCTTACTGCTAGGGGTCCAACGAGATCTATACTGGTATCCTCTATGATGAGGGCATATACAGATCCTTAGCAAAAGAACGATCTTGGGGGCCCCTGAAAAGTTGCTAATTCCTTGGTTACTCCTGCATAGCGTCAACACAAATTGGAAGCTCCAGCCAGCACTTACTAGCACTAGGAAATTGGTTTTTGTACCTGGGTTAGATGGCTTACAGTGCAGTTGTGCTTAGACCCAGGGCCTACAGAATGCTTAATCCAGCTCTGGGTGGAATTATTACATTTCACTTTCAATACAAGACATTTTGCGTATTACTTGTGCTCTTTGATTTTAGCATGTGGTAATAAGCCAGGTGAACCAGCATGGTACTGAGTGTTCACTGCGACACCAGTACTGTTCCCTCCTTGTGAAAGTTCAGCAAATAATAAAAGGGACAGAGAGCCAATAAATGTAGCTGTCATTGGCAACATCTAATGTTTCTGTACCACCTAGATGCAAGAGACTTTGATTCAGCTTGGCAAGTTATTCCCTACTCAATGGGCGACTGTGACATGTAAATTTGCTGTATAAATATAAATTATTGTAATTTTATAATTTCTGTAATGATAACTTAAAAATTGTGTTTTACTCATGCGCACTTGGAGGAGAAAGTGGTTCATGGTGATGTTGAAGTTTTTGTGTTAACTTTTTTGTTACTTTACCTGGAGGTTCACCTTGAGACTTATTCCATGGGACCTACTTCATGTATTTCAACCCACCACTTCTTTTGAATAAAACAGGATGCGACATCACCAATTTAGATTGTACCTGATAAGTCATTGGTGATTCTTGCTGTATCAAAAGGACAAAATTAGCTTTCAAGTTAAGTTTATATTAACCACTTCCTGCCGGGGTGCCCGGTTTTGGACAAAAGAGCTGGTCTTTCTAACTAAAGACTGTACTCGGAATAAAGGACCTGCTGCTGGGAATTGCCATCATTTTTCGCCTTCCATTTTTCGAAGGTAATCCGACACTGTTTTGAAACAGTGCACCACTGTTTTGGGCATAGCGCACCAGTGGATTAGCACTGCGGATAAAAGTACTCCAGGGCCCCATTGATGAGCGACACAGCGCTGCTGCTCGCTAATCCAGCAGCGTATGAAAAAACACTACTGGCATTCACCTGAACAAAGGAAATTATGCAACACCACACAATTCTGGGCTGTCTTTTACAGGGCTGCAGGCTTAGATCAGAGAGACATTCGTGTGGGTGTAAACAACCAGTAAATGAACACATGAATTTTTGAAGAATTTTGAGAACGGAAAATCTTAAAAAGGTCCCGCCATCACATCCCACTCAAGAGAAATCCACCCAGCAGGTAGTGGTTAAAAGTCTACACTTATGGAAAATGTTTACTAGTTATTGAGCAATTCACCCTGAAATCCCAGTTTACTTTTTTAGGACGCCTTGAACAGTGTAGTCCCAAAATGTTTGACTCACAACTCTCATCCCTCCATATTGTGTCAAAGATAATTGCTGCTCATGGTAGAGGGGCCAGCAGGTGCATCTAGTTTATTGTTACATGAACAACTGTGCTTCCGATGGCTGAAAACAGGAGATGACGGGGCTGCTTCAGTTACGGAACAATGATTGAAGGAATTGAAATGTATGCCCCTGGGAAAGTTTTAAAAAAGGTTTGTTAAATCTTAAACTATTAACATACACATGTAATTTAATTGGGAAATGTGGTTATAATGGCAAAATCTTAATCGTCAGACATTCTGTTTGCAGTGCCAGAACAAAATATTTGCAACCTAAAATCATGGTGAAAGCATGAACAAGAGATTTTAGAAAGAGGTTTATCAGGTATAAGAACAGTCTTGAAGAAGAAAACCATGAAAAAGTCAGATAAAATGAATGCAGAATGAATGTGATTGCCTGAACTATGCTGATTTTCATTGTGCTTGTAGTAATTGAGTAACTCCATAACAATGAGTTATGGGGGGGGGGGGCATTTAGTGACATTTGTGGATGAAGTACCCCTCAGTGGTAATAGGCAAGTCTTGGCTCATCCTTGAAGAACTTAAATCCTTGCATACAGAGCAATACAATGACCTACTGTGAATGCCTTGCTCCAAAGTTTAAACAAAAAGTGTTTAGGGGGTTATTTCGTGTTGGATTCAGCACCACCTTTAACAATATGGTAACCTGATGCTGAAATAAACTCCACCTGTGAAACTCTATAAATGGCATTTGTGACAATTTCACCGATCACCTGTTGCCATGAGTCTCACAGAAAGGTGGGTGGTACCTCTGCTCTATAAAGTCCATTGCAAAGCACCAAGGGTCCATTTTGATTAAGGAAAGGCAAAGGGGGAGTGACAGTGGTAACAAAAACCAGTTAATTGAAATCTGTTTGGTTTTGTTTTTTGTGAATTACATGTAGGTTTAGTTTGATTTGTTTCCGACTTGCAGTATATATCTGACACTACACACATTTTCCCTCAAGAAAACTGCTGAAAGGGGGTCATGACAAAGTGCCATTGTCCAATAATTCATACAATGTGTGTTTGTTAAAAAAACATGGCACATCCAAACCTTGCCCATGGAGTTGTCGTTACCACAGCAGGTCTTGCACAGCAACCAAATCCCAGTTTGACATACACTCTGCCACCGCAGATTTCTTGGACTCTGTGGGTAAGCCTTCCTGACATTAAGGGAACAATTTCTTTGTTCCAAAAGTCAGAGCCGTATTGTGGGGTCAAAACTTTATCATCCTAACATTTTTAATCCCCATACCGTCTACATTTCAAAATGTGTGTAATCGCCCTAACCCATTCACAAGTATACGGGAACCTAATATACACCTAGTGTGGACCTGTAAACAAAAGCAGTCCACATAAGGCAGGTTATTTGAACCTTGTGTGGACAAAGCCAGGTCCACATAAGGTTACCCCCTCTGGAAAACAAGTTCAGAGGTATGTTGGGGAGAGGGTTATCCATCGCAAAATTAAGAGGAACGTTCAAGGAAATCGTCATCAAAAATCTAGCTCAAAAGAATGTTCACCGTTCAAGAAAAATGAGTATTTTCATTGAATTTCCTAACTACGAGAAAAAAAGGAATGCCCACACTAGGTAGGTAACACCAACGTGTGGATGTGTGTGTGTGTACGTACAAAATGAATGGGGGCAATGTTTGTTGAAATGCCAACTGGAGGTATTCAAGGCACCTGTAGCAACTGGACCCATCAGTTATGCCTCTGTATACAGAAAGCCTGATGTTTTCATGTCCTCCAGTGTGAAGTGATTAATGAACCAACTGCCTCTGATGATTCTATATTGTGATTTCAAAACAAAACATTAAATCTATAATCACAGCAATCATTCGTGAGTTGAGTTATTTATTCATATCACTGATAAATGTTAATATTTAAAAACATTTTATCTTAAACGGGAAAAAACCTTAAAGGGGAAAAACTTAATAAAAATGATTTAATTTAATTGCCTCGAAATGCTGATTCTCTTCATTTTGCTTCATTGCACTTTTCATCCTAGAATTTCATTTTTGGCATTCAGTGTTCCAACAATCACTGTCTTCTATTATTTGGGGAAAGGAGTCGGCTTATCTCTCAAGTACTATGAAGTACAAAAATCAGTCAGTTTTTCCAAATTGGTAATTTTGTTTCTCATTTGCAAGATTACATTGTTCAAAGTTTCCAGTTCATCTACTTGACATCTAGACAGACTCTTGCTCTGCATTTGTGTACATGGGGCTGGATGATTTGTGAAAAAAATCAGGTATGGAAACAAATTCTACACTCTGTATACCAGCTTGATTAGAGAAATACCCAATTTTACAGCTTGTGGTGGTCTCCTTTCAAATATATATAAATTTGATGAAAGTACTGCTTAATTCCACAGTTTCATTTCAGAGGCTTTACAGCTGACATGGTTGGATGGAATTTTGAATCAACAGTGAAAATTGAAAGTAGAAAATTCTTACAACGCTCAAATGCATTTCTGTTCCAAAGCTCCCTGCCAGAAAAAAAAAGATTTGAAGCCATTGCACTCAATATTCACGTTGACGTATTAGACTTCACGGCATTTCGTTCTGATTATACATGTGCATACAAACTTGGCACATAATTGAACGAACAATAGCTCACTTCAACTGGAACCAGTCTATCTATCCAATACTTCAATAATCTTACAAAAAAAACAATAACTGACAGTCACTGAGATTCAGTCCAATTTAGCAATTCATTTTGACTGTTGAACCTGAGTGATCAACCACTTTTTCTTCCCTTCAAAGTAGGAAAGGGATAAATGCTTTCCTTGACTTGGGGTAGTCTTCAAACTTCTGCTTGTAGTACCTGTCAAGATAGAAATAAAAATGGAATTTGTTACACTTACAAAATGTTAACTACTGCTACCCTAAATCCTCAAGGTTCAGATTGATACCAAGTGTCACAA